CCCTTCCTGGGCAGGGAGTCCCGGGCCACCCCCAGGGCCCAGTCGCCGCCGTCGCCCACGTCCACGGCCCAGCAGTGGCGGCCGGAGGAGAAGCCGGGCTGGCCCAGCACGAAGGGCCAGTAGTCGAAGCGTTCCGGGGTGTCCGGAAGGTTCCGGGCGGGTCCGGCCCCCCCGCGCCGGACGCTCTTGAAGTCCTCAGACAGCACCAGCTCGGGGTGGGCGGTGGCGGGGTCCAGGGTGACGGGGGCTGGACGGGGAAAAAGGGGGGTCAGAAGGTGGGATGAACAACCTCGGGGAAGGAGGGATCGGTTTGGGATCCCTGGGGGTGGGATGGAACCAAAGCAAAGAGTTGGGATGATGGGAACTATCCCAAAAATGGGGAAACCCCAAAAACGAAGCGTTGGAATGAAGGAATCCTGCCTAAAAACAGGGAAACCCTAAAAAGAAGCATCAACACCCCAAAATGAAGCATTGGCATGATGGGAACAACCCCAAAAATAGGGAAACCCCAAAATGAAGCACTGACATGATGGAATCCTTCCCAAAAAATACGGAAGCCCCAAAATGAAGAATTGGCACTACGGGGAGCACCTCAAAAATAGGGAAACCCCAAAACGAAGCACCTGCACCCCAAAATGAAGCACTGGCAGGATGGGAACCACCCCAAAATAGGGAAACCCCAAAATGAAGCATTGGAATGAAGGAATCCTGCCCCAAAATAGGGAAACCTTAAAATGAAGCACTGGCACGATGGGAAGCACCCTAAAAATAGGGAAACCCCAAAACGAAGCATCTAAACCTAAAAACGAAACATTGACACCCCAAAATCAAGCACTGGCATGATGGAAACCACCCCAAAAATACGGAAACCCCAAAATGAAGCATCGACACCCCAAAATGAAGCATTGACATGATGGAATCCTTCCCAAAAATAGGGAAATCCCAAAACGAAACATTGGCACGATGGAATCCTCCCCAAAAATAGGGAAAACCCCAAAATGAAGCATCTGCACCCCAAAATCGGGGCAAAACGCTTAGAATTAAGAAAGTGATAAATGAGGCATTAATTGGGTGTTAAATTGTCCTTTTTTTTCCAGGAAAAGCCCTTTTCCCTCCCTCTCCTCCATCTGAGGATTCTCCCTGCCCTGTTTCTGTTCCCAGTTCACATCCAGGATGAGGGAAGGGCAGCTTGGCTCTTCCAGCCCTCCCAAAATGTGGTTAAATCTTATTTTTTCCCACCCCAAATACCTTGGAGCTTTCTCAGAGTCTCCTTCAGGGCGTTGCTCCTCCAGGAGAAGTGACAGATTCGCTCCTCCGACCCTGGAGCCGCGTCCAGGGGAAGCTGGAAAGTCACTTTCCCGCACCTGGGAATAAAATAAAACCACCAAAACCCCTCAGGAACCACCAAAAATCCATCAGGAATCACCAAAACCCCTCAGGAACCACCAAAAACCCTTCAGGAACCACCAAAAATCCCTTTAGGAACCATCAAAACCCCTCAGGAACCACCAAAAACCCTTCAGGAACCACCAAAAATCCCTTTAGGAACCATCAAAACCCCTCAGGAGCCACCAAAATCCCTTCAGGAGCCACCAAAAACCCCTCAGGAACCACCAAAACCTCTCAGGAACCACCAAAAATCCTTCAGGAATCACCAAAACCCCTCAGGAACCACCAAAAATCCTTCAGGAATCACCAAAATCCCTCAGGGACCACCAAAATCCATCAGGAACCATAAAAAATCCCTTTAGGAACCATCAAACTCCCTCAGGAATCACCAAAAATCCCTCAGGAACCACCAAAACCCCTCAGGAACCACCAAAAATCCTTCTGGAATCACCAAAAATCCTCAGGAACCACCAAAAATCCCTTTAGGAACCATCAAAACCCCTCAGGAACCACCAAAATCCCTCAGAATTCCCACATTTTCCCCCAAGCTGCTCCAGGGAAGTTCCCTCCTCCGTTTTCTCCTGGAAAAGAAAATTCCTGGAAAGGTTTTTCCTGCCGGGAAAGGTTCCACGGACCTGCTGACGGAGCTTTTGG